TCTAATACTTCAGTTCCTTCTAATTTAGTCATGTCAATCCTTCCGCAATATATAAATCTGAAATTTAAAGAGAGATTGATAGATTAATACCGGTTTATATTATTGACGTAATTGTAATTATTTACCTTAAAATAATTTTAAAAAGATTCATAGGAATGTTTGGCATTTTTAAAATAAATTTCCCTTCCCTCTTTTCAACATTTTCTTTAGTTAATTCATCATAAAAATATTGCGACCTGAAACATAAAATATTTGAAAGGGGATGTAGTTCTTTAACGTTTTCGGTTTCACCGGTATAAATAATTACATCATATCCTTTGTCATTTTCCAACAACCTTTCATAATCTTCTGCAAACATTCTAAAGACATTTTTTACAAATAATTAAGAATTAAAAAAAAATATATATATTATATATATCACATTGAGAAGTTATATTACGCGAGGGGGTGTGTGTCACTAAAAAAAGCGTCAAATCCCTGGAATCCCCGGGATTTCCGTCGATTTCCGTGGAAAACCCGTGGAATCTCGCCGGATTTCCGCGGTTCCTCATGGAATCTCAGAAATTTTGCGATGAATCACGTGATGTGCGTTGCGATTTCCATATTTGGATATTAGTGTAACTATTTTTTTGCCGATTTTCCAATTTTTCGACAGGCGAGAATTGCCTTTATGGGATTTTGTGTAATATTAATTTCCATATATGGCGTTTAGTGTACCCATATTGTTGGCAAAATAAACTCCCGGAAAAATACAGCCGAAAATGAACATTTTTCACACATTCTCTAGCATCCAGCGATCCGTTAGAAATGCAACACATATCATTTTGAAGAGCGCATCTCGGCGAACACGATAGTCCAAATATCACGAATTTCTGATCGGTACATACAGAGATAATAGCCTCCGAGACTTTACTATTTTACAAATAAATTAAAAATAAAAATAATTAAAATAATTTCTATTTTTAGTTAATATAAAAATTAAAACAATACAAAAATTAAATTCAATTCTTTGTGTATGCATATCATGCATGCATGTATGCAAGCATTGAATAATATTAATTATTATTTTTTTTTTTGTAATATGTTACAAAAAATTATTAAATTTTCTTTCTCTCTTAAACAAAACAACTTTAAAAATTTTTATATTTAATTTTACAAAACATTTATAATTTTAAACAAAAATGACAAAATCAAAATACACATCATTAGAAGAAATTGATGCAGCATATCTAGAACCTGAAAATGAAACTAAAGAACAAAGAAAAAAAAGGTTAAATAATAAGAGACATGCTAGAAATAATTTTCTAAATCAACAAGCAAAAGAAGCAAAAGGTGAAGCTGGACCATCAAGTAGAACAAGATCACAAACTGAGGATGATATTCCACCTTCAGCTAAAACAAGATCCAAAACAACAGAGAATGCAAGATTAAGGAAACAAAAATCAAGAAGTGAACAAACAACACAACAAAAAGACATCCTTAAAGAAAATAAAAGAATCAGAATGAAAAATTTAAAAATTGCAAAACAAGAACAATTAAAAATGCAATTTTTAAGAATTGGACATTGTAACATAGATGAATATACAGAAAATAGAGTAGAAAACAATAGACACAGATTTGAAAGGATAGATAATATTTGTGAACATTGTTATGCATTGAAGTGGAAGGATGAAATGAAAGGATTTTGAATTTTGATTGGAGCTCCTATTATGCTCTTAAGGAATCTTAATCCAAAAGAAGGGCTCTGCAATGGTACCAAATTAATCATCAAAGGATTTCAACAGCATGTGATAGATGCAGAAATCTTGACAGGCTCACATCTTGGAAAAAGAGTTTTTATTCCTCGAATTAGATTAACACCATCTGATATGGATTTGCCTTTCCAATTAATTCGTCATCAGTTTTCAATTCTTTTGGCCTTTGCCATGACCATTAATATGGCACAAGGTCAAACAATTCCATATATGTGATTATACTTGCCTAATCCAGTATTTTCTCATAGACAATTTTATGTTGCTTTATCACGGGTTCAATCCAAAAATAACATCAAAATCTTGGTTAAGGATGGTCAGGTTGATGGTAAATCAGATGTATATACAAAGATAAAGAAGAGTTTAATTGAAAATTTGTATATAATTAGAAAAGTTAGATATTATTTGTATATATTTAGTTAATTGATTTTGTATATAGGAAAAAAATTCTTTAATTTAAAATTTGTATATATTTAGATTTTTAAAGTAATAATTTATTTTAATTTGTATATAGTCATAAAAGTTTTAATTTATATATTGTTATAAAAGTATTAATTATTAATTATAAGAAATTCGGCTAACAAAATTTAAGTTAGCGCAATGAAGATCACTGACCATTAATGTTCGCTGGTCATTATTGTTCACTGGCCATTAATGTTCGTTAGTCATTATTCTTCACTGGCCATTAATGTTCGCTGGCCATAATTGTTCACTGGCCATAATTGTCCTGTTAGAAATTTATGTATATAAATTGCAGAATTTCCTTTAATAAAAGAAACACAGTTTTTTAACATAAAAAACAAAGAATTAAATACCTGCAATAATAAACAGTTCATCCAATCCTTGAAAATGTCCGATAAAATCCCTAAAAAATGAATACATCGTTATCCATTATTCCCTTTTACATTTTTATTATAATAAATTCCGAAAGATATAATTAATTGTCATACTTGATCATATAGAGCGCTGACGTTGCAGGCAATATGATACCCACGTTGAATTAAAGTTAAATTCCGATTATTATATTAAATATTAAATTAGTAAAACAATAAAACACGTTACCTTCTACTTACCTTTAAACTCCGTTTATAACCCATAAACATCAAAGAACTGCTATTAACAATATGACGGAACCATGATATAAAACAGTTATTTCACGGGAATTTCTATGAATATCATGATTTTCACAACGCAGCCGTGAAATTCATTGATATCCATAGATTCTCGTGAAATAACTATTACACATATACAACATAATATATAATAATTAATAAATATTACCTTTATATTAGATCTATTAAAAATCTTTCTTTTACCAGCTTGTCCTTTCAATAAGTTTATACATCACCACTTTGAAACCATTTTATTACTCTTGTAACAGTAGGAGCGATAATTTTCAATAAATACAATATTTTTTTTAAAGAAAACCCATTATAATACAAATTTACTACACTCCACCTTAAATTTTACCTTATATTGTAACTTTTCATGAGTCAGAGAATAAATTATAAATTTTACTATGGTAACACAACTGTGATTCCTATTTTTCTTCCGTGTTTTTTTTTGTGATTTTCTGATTCCTTGGAAAAAAGTTGTGATTTCAAAGTTTTAACTTGAATATATATTGTTTTTTTTAATAATACTTTTTTAAAATAACATATATTATAAATAAAGTGTATATTTATTTGATATAAAAAAAAATCGTAATAGCTTATTTAAAAATTAAAGTTTTTATTATGTAAAGCCGAACGAACGTGATTAACTGATCGCCGTCACATGATCGACATCAATTTCGAAAACGACAATTATCATCGTTAAAGATGGTATGGGAATGATATATAAATATATTTAGGAATGGGTTAATCTCAAACAAAATTTATTTTCACGTCATTATATTTTATTTTGAAGATGAATTGGTTAAGATTTTATAGTTAATACATATATAATTCAACGTATTTTTTAAAGTTAAGATTTGTGTATTTCTTAAAATCAAAATTCTTTTATTAATTGAATAATTCTAATTATTTAAGAACAATATATACACTGACACACATCTACTATTTAACATTTTATCTAAGACAAAATTATATAAACTTGTATATATATATATAGAAAGTCTAAGAAAGTTTTTTTCAACCTAAGAGCTAAATTGCTACCGATCAAAACAATTCTATAATTCATGAAATAAAATATTGTCGTAGTGTTCAACAGAATCTCCATATTAATTTAAAATTGAACGAAGACAACTTCGCTCAAATATTAACAATCATTGAACATACACAGAAAGAAATACTACGCGGCACGTCGTCTTCGCCATTGCTTTGTATTACATCTAGTGAATTAACTTTTATAAAACTATTAGTATCATTTTCAGCTAATATAGAAGATTTAGCTTTTTTGTCATTCGACGACACCGGTGCATGTTTGTCTTGAAAAGATAGGTAAATATCTAAAATTTTATCAATTTCGTCAAACTCGAACATATCCTTAGAAGTCATGATTTCTTTGGTCGCGGTGGTTTCATTTCTTTTGTGATTTTTATAAAAAACTTTGTGTTTAAAGGATTTAAATGTCTTGGAAAAGATTTTCTTCAATTTATTGTACGATTTATTCTGTATAGGCCAGAATTGATCACCCTTCAATTTTTCCATGTCAATAGAGTTATTTGGGATAGGTTCAGGAATGAAACTTTTATCAAAAATCGAAAAATTAGGATCGAAATTAGTAATATGCATTTTGATAATTATATATTGAACTTTAAAAGCAATTTGATTTGTAATATTTGAATTTGCTGCTTGATGATTCTCATTTGTACTGCTTTTATATATTTTTGAGCAGCATATTCACCCTTTATGTTATCAATGTTGATATGCAGTAATTCTCTGCCCAGCTGTGACAAGAAATCATTGTTATTTTCAAATCAAAGTAAGTGATAAAATTACAAGCTACAATATTTCGTACGACACATGATGGATAAATTGATTCAAATGTTGATTATATTTATTGACGAAATTGATACGTATTTCTTACATAAATATTCGATTATCTACTAAATTGTTGTATTATAATTGAATTATCGAAAGTTTTTATCTTGTATTGTTTTGAATTTTCATTTGCACGATACATACGAAACAAAAATAATAATTGCAATAATATATAGTATCATAAAATGAATCATATTAAAGACATCTAAGTTGTATGTTTTATAGATGGATGATTTAATGCGATGCCTAAGCACGAATCATGCTTAAAATTTCTGAGTACATTATTATCATAAAAATATCGCATATGACGTTTTTAGCGATGTATTGTTGTTGTATTGTTTGGTCGTGGCGCAGCAGATTACATTTTTTAAAAAACTGAAATTATATAAGTGGAACAATAATAATTGCCTTTATTTTTTATATTGTATTGTGATTTCTATGTTATGTTTATGTCACCCTCGGAAATTATGTAAAATTTTGGCCGTTAAAAGTGTACGTTTTATTAATGTGGCGCAGCAGAATTGTGTCGAATTGGATAAATTTTTATTTTATATAATTGACATTCAATCCTTTCTTGTCGTTCATAAATACGTTCAGAGTGGTTGTAGTTTCTATATAAATAAATGTGCTAAGCTTTACTTATTTTTGTTATGTGGATCTTTTTAGCACGAATTCAAACGAATTCCCGACTTTCATATTTTCGTCACAAATTCCGGACATATTGTTTGTCTGTCTGGATATTTAAGGTCCGGGCATTAGTTCAGATTGGATTGAATGACATTTCGTTTGCGATAAATATATTTTATATACTTTTGTACGAGATATATAACAATATTTCATATTGGGTTTCAATACATTCTCTAAATCTAAATTAGCTGGTAATTACTTATATGAGTGTTGATTAAATAAAATAATTTGGATTTAATTACTTCTCTTATTTTGGAAATAGCAATAAGTCTTCAAAGGATGTGGGTCGAGTTGTTAAAGTTGATATATCAAAATAAAATTCTCACAAAAGTATTTATGATAGAAATGTATTTTACAAAGGTAATAAATATCTTGTATTATTATATTACCTTTTTGTAATCATACAGCAATATTGATAATCTTACCGTTAATGAAATTCATTACTTTATTTATTTAAAAAATGATAAAATGTTCCTTAAAATAACTGGTCAATATATATGTTAGTAAGAAAGAACTAATTGATAATATTTCCAGATGTTTGCAATTTTTATATAACATTAGCTTTTATTACTTCGCGTGAAAATTTACAGTACAATCGTGATATAAAAGTTAAATTTAACACAGACCGACACCATAAATATGGCGCAGCTAGCGAAAATGTTATCACAAAAGTCTTAATTCTGGACGAATTAAATTAAAACTAACTATTCTAACAGGTTACGGTAACCGAACCAAAACTCGACGCGCGATTGTGTAATTCGATTCAATCATATTGATTTAACTTTACATATTAAAGAGTACTTTAATCTCTAAAGCATATATTCTTTGTCTGAGGGGTCAAGTTGAGTCACGAGTCAATAATATAGAGATATAGAGACCCCTAAATTCGAGCCGGTCAATAACCGTCTGACCCGACCCTTTCTTTTCACGGCCTATGTTTCTTTTTACTTTACAGATTCGATCGTGCAAAAGACTAAAAAGTAATGGCAACATAAGCATGAATTGTTGTGACTTCTCAGATTGAGCGTTAATTTATTCGAGCTTCAGACCTTTGCTCGAAGTGATTCCCTAAGGATATCATTAATTAATATTTTGGTCTGTAATTTAAAACTTGTTGAAACAAACACATAAAACGGTAAAATATCAAGAATTTTCGTAATATTGGTCATTTGCTATTCATCTATAGTTGCGGGACGAAACCATAATAGGCTAATGTTGAAAGTCGAAACTAAATCCGTCGAAAGTCTAAACGTTTCGACAGGTTTCGGCGGGTTTAAATAGGCGTCGAAACGCC